GGCACAAAATAAAGCATAATTAGGATACACTCAATGGCCATAACCAGAAGCACTGATGTTTCCCAACTGTAAACTCAATGTTTTGTAGAGGTGTTTGACCTTATTTTCGCGACTTGGTCATTTTGAGGTAGTGTAGTGGGCTCCTTTGAGGACGGAAAAATTGAGGCATGGAAAAAATTGTAAGAGTGAAGGTGCGATAGGAGGATATAGGAAATGTGAATAGCCCAGGGAATAAGGGGAGATACCACAACTGTTTAGCACACATTTGGTAAAAGGATAGGCTTACTTGTTTGTCTTTTTGACGAGTTGTTGTATGGTGCTACGAATGGCAAGACTTACTGACGATGCCAACTACGATGCCGGCGAAACGTCTGGGAATGTACCACGTCGACGGTCCTACTCTGGAAATGATGATGCATACAATGGACTACAGACTAGGTGTGTTCCTCTATGTCTTCCTACTTATATGACTGAGTTGCGAAAACAAGGTCAAACAACGTCTATACAATGAAAGGAGACCGAACCACACAAAAGGCCACTCCATCTTGGTCTTCATACTTTCAATGTTTTATATTCTTACTTTTCTAAAAGCAAACTTTATGTGCCAGAAGAGTAAGAGCGGCAATTAATTAAGCAGTTAATATTGTAAGACATCAATATTTGCAGAGAAGACTCATTTCCTTTCAACTAATATTATCTGTCTTAGGCATTTTAAAGATAATTTTTATAGGAGAATGTCTACCCAAGGGAATTTTGTATGGAGTATACGTACTAATAAGTGAGCATTATGAAGTAATGTATAATTAAAAAGACCAGGAATATGTGACACTAATAAATGGCAAGTTAGTTAAAAGATGGAAAGAGCTGCATAAATATGGATCTAAACAGATAAGCCCCTAAAGGATCCCTACATGAACACAATTCACACTTAAAATACGAAGGCTCTAAAAATAGGCCGCATTTTATTGGACTACCTCATCGTTGAGATCCTAAGGCCGTTACTATTAGCAACTTCCCAGAAATGCCGTATTCGGTGTGAGCCTGTGAGTTTTTATGAACTTTTTTGGAGGAAGAACAAGGGAAGACAACGTAGGTATGTTGTAAAACTTGGTAATGAAAGGTACTCCAGCATCTGGGGAAACCAAGTTTAAATTTGAGGACAGAAAGATGTCTCCCTCCATACAAAAGAGGCTTGGTTGCAAAATCTGCAGGTTATACGAATTATAGAATAAATTTTCAGTTAAATGACATTCTCCTACCCCAAAGGTAGGAAAAATAAAAAAATGAACCTCTTGAAATAATTACATTTAATAGCTAAAAGATCGAAACCCCGAAATATCAGAATTTATCGCAATGTTCTAGTTTAACTTAAACATTATGTTTTAAAACCAAGAAATCCACAGGCAATGGCAAAAGCTGAAGATAAAGAAAATGAGAGAAGCCGTCCTGCTCGCGGGTATTAAGAATGCAAGAGGTTCGAAGTAGTCAGAGAAAAAGCCTCTCTTCTCTAATCCACTTAATAGTTTATCAGTTTCCGATAAATGGCGGCTTCCTAGCTCAACGAATTTTAGAGAAAATTTTGGTCAGTGATAAGTTATGATTAGGCATTCAAGAAAGAGTAAAAGAATGTGTAGATGCAGGAGGAAGAAAATGAGTATGTTGCAATAATTGTTTCACTTTACGGAAAGGGCGAAGGGATTTATGACAAAAATGTACATGATGCCATGTCGAATGCTTGTTGATAAATACGGTCTGCACTCCTCGGGATGTGCAGCCTCCTCTTGCTCGGTGGTACTTGTTAAGCAATAAATACCACCGAGCAAGAGGAGACTTCCCTAGTCTAGAGTATGTTTAGCCATTCCACACCCCACTTAATTCATGCTCATTGCATGTGCAAAACACAAAGGTATATGAACAAAATTACATGTGTCATAATTGTATGATCTCAAATGTAAGTGATATAGCTAAGGATACAGCTGTTTGCGAACAAAAACATCCACCTAACGCCTCATCCACTCCGCCTCAGACACCATTGGCGACCACTTCATATTTCCTCAAGCATGTAAAGAAAGCACGGAATGACCGACTAAATCATAAAATGCCTCATTACCCGGACAGTCAAGTTATAAGGAGTAAATTGGATTACAATTCTTGCTTGGAAAATTCTTCCTAATTAAACTTTCGTGACTACATGAAGAGGGTAAACGGAAATCCCAAAAAATGGAGATGAGGCAGACTGATCGAAAGCAATTATTTATATTTAATCGAAGTCATTAAAATATAAAGTATATTTTTCTTTTTCTTTGCTTCCTTCGGGGAGGTTGACTAGCTTAGTTTACTCCAGGCCATTTATGTATCCGGAAGAGGAGAGGTTTCATTCAACATATAATTATTTAAATCTATAGTAGAGAAGCAAAACTTGTTTGTCTAGCGAATTGATTGAATTTAGCTCATTATGCTTCATTATAAATTCGTCTATATTATTTCAAAAAATTAAAACTCAAAATAAATGAATATATACCGAAATTCGGTCACTAATTTTGAGTTGGGCTATGAGACACCTTCAAGTATTCTCTAATGCAGACATTATGGCATAACTAAAGACATGTTAACTTCTAACCTGAGAGGAAAGACTGTCATTTCCTGCTCCGTCTGTTGCAATCAACGTTAACTTGTAGCTCTTAGGTCTGGGCGGACGTCTCATAGCACACAGCATATTGGGGGCCTCTCGCATCAAGGCAAACAGACCGTCATAGTCATTCTCCAGACGGTAGTAACAGCACTCGGAGCCCTGGTAACCAACCCCAGCGACCCCCAGAGCTCGCCCTGCCCCACCAGCCTCTTCACCGTCTCCCAGCGGTACTGGCACGAATCCTTCGGCTAAGGGTCCGGCTGATGCGTCTGATGAGGTCATGGCAACCTGCCCAGTCAAGTCACGATCTATCGCCTTGTAGGGGATAGACTCGCAGACTGGACTGAGAGATGCAGAAAAGACGTCTTTACCACCACTTCCGCCGCCAGCTGAGGCCTTGTTGGAGCTCGAGTTGGAGCCCTGTTCAATCGCAGCATCAGCAACTTTGGAACTTCCGTTGCTGGCTCCTGCCTCTGACGCCTGAGCCAGATGCTCCCAGATGAAGGTGATGTGAGTATTGTGCGGCTTGATGAGAATGAACTCGGGTGGGTTGTCGTTCACATTCTCCACATTAATAATCACACTCGCCTCTGCAATCCGGCCCTCCGGCAGCAGGTTGGAGAAGACGTTCTGGCCAGTTGAGGCTCGCGGCTGTGAATGACCAGTTGCCGCCGGATGGGTAGGCTGCCCGTTTTCTGCAACCACAACCAGAGAGATTGAAGAGCGTGATTCACGATCAATGGGTCTTCTCGTGGAAAGCCGTCCAGTCTGTCGATCCACATCTACCAGCAACAGATCCTCAGATCGGCCACGTAGACTGTATCTCACGCGCCGATTTGCTTCACTGGCATCTAAGTCAAAGGTAGACACATATCCGAGCTCTGTGCCACGGGGCGAGTTCTCTAGCACCTGCAGGACAGAATGAGATCAGGTTTTATACAAACAAAATTTAAAAGAATTTCTCCAGTAGGGCTTCCGATTTCCATCGAAATCGAGCTGTTAGGTTCATCACTCTTCTTTCCCCAAATTCGGCATCAGCAAAGATGGACTTACCTATTTTTAATCGAAGGTATGAAGACCAAGATGGTATGACCTTTTGTGTGGTCGCAGTCTCCTTTCGATGTATTGAGGTTGTTTGACCATGTTTTCGCAAATTGGTCATATTGGTAGGAAGACTTAGAGGAACACACCTAATCTGGAGTCGAATGTATGCATGATTATTTCCAAACTCGGACCGTTGACGTGGTACATTCCCAGACGTTTCGCCGACATCGTAGTCGGCATCGTCATTGAGTCTTGCCATTCTTAGCAGATACAAGTTTTGTCTCTTTGACGAGTTGTTATGTGATGCTATGAATGGCGAGACTGGGAATGTACCCCCTCCAAGGTCCTACTATGGAAATGATGAT